GGGGAAGAAAGGGCACTTTTCCAATGAAATGCTTGCATATATTTCTTAGGGCCATCAAAAGCAGAAAGTTTTACATGAAATAGGAGAACTCCCAGTACACCATATGCTAGAGGCAGCGCAGTCTCCACAAAGGGGTATAGCAACTCCATATCTGGAGGCTCAATGGCATCTGGATCTGTGAAGTACTTAACTACCTCAAGAGGAAGTCGGTTGATCTGGTAAAAGAAATGTAGGCAGTATCTTATCCTTCTAACTTGACAGAGAAGTTATCAAAAGAAAGTTTGACTACAGTAAGTTTTGCAAATATTTACAAATGAAAGTGTCTTAAGGAATAACATACCTGAGATGCAATTCCTAATTCCACAGAGGTGCCAATGGTCAAAAGGAATAACAGAAGAGCAATCACATATTGCCAAAGAGTTGTTGGCCCAGGTTCAGAAACCTCTTTCCGCAGCAAACCAAAGCTAACACGTGGTCCACCACGTGGGTCTGGTCCTTCTGAATTAGGTTCCTCTACCATAAAAAGATTGTATTTAACACCTGTGACCTCAGCCAGTTTTATCTGAAGTTTGGCAAACACATCTTCTCTCGTCCCTCTTAAATTTCCAAGGAACAGAATGCCCTCACCAAGGTCGCCAAATGGTTCTTCTTTCGTCACCCAAAATGTCGAATACCCAAAAAGGCTTTCCTTGATTAGTTTTACATCAGCGGGATCAACCTTTTCAGGCCCAAGAAGCTCCATTAACTTAAAAGAGTCAACTTGGAAATTATTGTAGGCTGGTCCAACTGGTGATCTAGTTGGTGGCTGAAGAAAGAATGCATTGGCAAATCAAGATCTAGAATCATGGATATAATAATTTTATCGAAATGCACATAAATGCTTTGCATGCAAAAAATCATTATTGTTTTAAGTCCTTACAAGGACACCTGCACTATGCATTGAAAAGCCACAACCCTCTGCAAATGTATTAATCAAGCTTATATCCAGTGAGATCTTTTACTAACATTGAAACCAAAAGTCCAAGTTTGTGCCAAGAAATGATCTCCAAAATAATCAAACTTATATCCAGTGAGATCTTTTACTAACATTGAAACCAAAAGTCCAAGTTTGTGCCAAGAAATGATCTCCAAAACAATATGACTAGTTGAAGTAAATTTGCCAAAAAATATTGAGACTCAAACGCATATCCAGGATAAGTCCAAGTAAAAGTTTCCCATATTACGCGGAATATGAAACCCAAAGTCCCAAGAAAATTATGAACAGACAGTAGCATTCCAGCAAATAGATTCATTGTTTATTTGGACATAGGTTCTCTCATTTTAGTTTACCTCCAACTCCATTGTCAAGAATTCTTGATTTCAGATTGAGCCTAACAAATTAAGCAATATATTAAGGGACAATCTATTTGCGGGTGAACACAATGACGATCTGATGTCTCAGACAAGGCATTTTGCCGTGCTTTATGTCAAGAAAGTCCATTGTCAAACACCAAGCAAAACAATGTACCCAGTAAATTATAAAAAATTACACTTAACATAACAGAAGTAAAACATTTCAAAGGGAAAGAAATTAAGAACTGCGTACTCTTGAAGAAACAGAAGGAGGTGCCTCATCAGAACTTAACTCATTGCCGTTGCTTCTTCTCTCTCCAGCATCTTCAGGGGCCGCCGTTTTGACACTGGAATCTTTCAATAAAGTGTCACCATTCGCTTCTCTATTGTCTCCACCATTATCGTCATTGTAGTCGTTATTATTAGTACTAGAACACCTAATTATCCTAAGAACACCCCTGTAACTATCGCTACCTCTCCTCTTCGAAATTCCTTTGCAAAAAAAGTAATGACCTTTCCATTTCTTGAGATCATTTAACGTAACCCTTTCGCTAGACACACCATTGGCGATAGGAAACGAACGGGACTTGAAATTCACTGTGCTAAAACTACAGCTCGTGAGAGTTCCCATTTATTCAAAAGTCCCCCGGGAAAAAAAAAAAAAAGAAAGCAAATCACGTGAAATGCCAAAATCAAGAAGGAAAAAGCTTATTATTCTGAGTAAAACATTTGGAATTCTGAGTAACGCTTATAATTCTGGGTTTTTGACACTGCTTTGGTGCAAGAGAAAAAGGAGCAGCAGATTGCTCTGTTTATCTTCTCTGACGGATTTTTCCAAATTTTTATAAATATCTTTTCTGCTTTTTCTTTTTTCCTCCTCCCTCTGTACGTTAGATATTTGCTAAGGTTACAGCTTCTCGTTCTTCATTGGTCCACGTGGACAGATGGGACCCACTTAAAGAAACAATTCAACATTTAATTAAAACATCACGTGGATGATTAGAATTATTTAAGAAAACTGTTTTAAGCGAAAATACTTTTTTATTTCCATTTTTAAATTCAAATCAAATTATAAAAATTTAATTAAATTTTAGACTAAATAATAAAACTTAGTATCATATATTAAATATCAGTAACTTTAAAAATTAATTATAATAAATAGAATAAACTTAATTTATGTTTGTCAATTTATTAATTAAAATTTATTTATTTTAATTAAAAAATATAAATTTTAATTTTATTAAAAATATAAAATTTATCATTTTATAATTATACTATAAAATTAAAAATGATAAACGCATGACTCAGTGATTTATTTATTTTATATATTGATGTATTATTATAATATTATAATTATAATAATTAAATTTGAATTTAATATTAATAAAATATTATAATTATGATAAAAAATATTTTTTAGAAAGAAACTCATTAAATTGAATAAAAAAAATTGTAATACTAATGAAAATCTCAAGCTAAACAAATTAAAATAAATAGAAAGCATAAAGCCTTGTTTGGCGAAATAACGATTTTATTTTTTTTCTTAAAATATTTTTTTAACGGAGACGCCGCTGCTATACTACGCTACGCGCAGAAGACAGAAACCGACACTCAAGCGTTTAAGTAAAAGCCCAGACGCAGCGTCCCCCACTCAAATTCAGTCTCTGAATATCCTCACCCAAGTACGGGAGGGAGAATGCCGGTTGCTTCTTCTCCTCCTCTGCTTTTTCTTCTTATCTCATTTGCTCTCTCTTTGTTGATCGTTCTGCATGCCTCGCCCTTAACCGACCTCGCAGGTATTGCCAACCCCATTCCCTCCTGTTCATCTTCTCCTCTTTTTCTTAATGGTTTTGAAGTCTGCCCGTTGCGTTTGTAGAAATGGTGGAAAGGGATTAAGGCTTTTATTTTGGATCTGGTTTAGGTTTTGAGGCAGGGAAGAACTCGTTCTATCAGTACTCTTCTGTTTAAAACTGAAATATTTGGTTTCGTTTATATTAATAATGAGTTAAAGACAAGTGGAAAAAGAAGAAAGCGTCTATCATTATGGGATTCCACTTCATTTTTTTCTTCTTACTCTCTTCCTCCTCCTCAATGACGGATTCTTCTTTCTTCATACTGAAGTGTGTAAAGGTTTCGCTTCCTTGATTTGAAAGTCTTTTTAGAAAAAAATTGGTCTCGTGAATAATTTCGTCTCGCTTAATAGCCATTTGACAAGGTTTTTTGTTTCAATTTTGAAGTTTTTTTGTGAGACTCAAATACTAAGTAAATAGGAAATTTTTGCTCACTCTGGAATATCGTAGCAATCCTTTTAACATCTCAAAATGATGGGAGGGGTTATGGAGTTTTTGTGACAATTGTAAACTGAATTTTGGTAATCTTGTTAGGTAGATCTTTTCCTACTGCTTCATTTCCACTGAGATTATTATTCTTTTCATGCTAACAAGTTATATCTATGCCACTTCGAAGTTCTTGTTAGGTAGATCTTTCTCTAATGCTTAATTTCCTCTGGAGTTATCATTATCTTCATGCTACCAAGTTCATTATATGCTATATGCTAATTGCAAGGAATGGGACTTGGATCCCACATCAAAAGGCAGGACTTTGTTGTGGGGTGTTTATGAGTTCGGGTTTTCTAGCCTTAATAGCTGGTTTTTGAGTTGTATTTCACCTAAACTCATATCAATAGTACCAAAGCTATTCACTATCTCTTTCAGTGTCAATTGTGCACGTCTTTCAGAATTGCAGTGCTCAATCATGACTAATCAAAAGAGAGTTAGTGCAAAGCCAGCCCACGAGGGGAGTATGGTGGATTTTTTAAAAAAAAATAAAGGGAGCATGGTGGATCATTATGTGTTAATTGCAAAGTGAGACTTGGATGCTACATATAAGACGCACAACTTTAATGTAGGGTTTATATGAGTTTGGGTTCTCCGACCTTAGTAGTTACCTTTTGAGATGCGGTTTCTTTAAATTCATAGCAACCGAAGACCTCTTTGCTTTATGCATGCTGATGCCAGAACCAAAACTTTGTTTGTGTAATCAAGTATGTGTTGAGTGCTGCTGAGAATCATTGTAGTGGTTGGTTGCTAGATGTTGTGGCTTCCATATCTGGGCTTTGTTTTTCATCCAGGAATTCACGTGGCCTGTAGCTTGCCTGGAAATTATTTTTTTATATTAACCTTGTATTTTTGCACATTGTAAACCTCAGGTGTCGATCCGGACCATCCAGTTTTGGATATTGTTCCTGCCTCTCTTTATGGACAAATATCTGGTGGTTCTAAAGATGTTTTATTGTGTAAACGGATTAAAGTTTCTGGTCACTCAAGGATGAAACTTGGGAGTTATGCCAATTCTTTTCGGATTACTTTGGCTCCATCTGCAGTAATACCGGAGAGACAACATAGCAAAATTCAGGTTTGCTTCCACAGGTAAGTAAACTTTCATGCATCCATTATTTTCTATTCTGTATTAACTTTCCACCAAGGAATGTTTATGAGTATTTGTCCCATTTGACAAGCTCTTTCCAGGAATGCTTCGCTTGGGTTATGCCAGTGTGAGAAAGATGAATGGAAAACACTTCAGATGGGACTTTGGAGTTCTGTCATGTCACCATATGATGAGAGATATGTTGACATAAAGTTCACTGGTGAAGTATCTGGTTCTGTCTCTATTGGCATTGAAGAAGGTTCTCTCTCTCTCTCTCATCCTTATTCCTTTCTGAGGTAATTGTAGATAATCTCTTTAGTAACATGATCATTCTGCAGATTTTCAACAGTGGCGCCTCCTTTGTCTGGCAGTTGGATTTGTTTTACTGTTGTTGGCACCAATTGTCAGCAGTTGGGTTCCGTTTTACTATAGCAGTTCAATGGCAATTGGAGTTTTTCTTGTTGTCATAATACTTCTGTTTCAGGTACTTTCTATTGCTCTTCAACGACCTCTCTCTCTGTCCTCCAATTAGAAATTTTTTACTGTCTCTTTCATTCTTTAAGATTTCAAAATAGTAGAAAGTAAATGAACTGTATTTATATCCTATTTAATTATACTGTGTCATAATAAAAACCTAGTTTAAGTTAAGTAGTGGAGTATTTATTACTACCGAAAATGGTAATAAAAGGTGGAAAGGACTGTGCATTTTTTTAAGGTTTTCTTTTTATTTCTCTTTTTCCGCAAATCGAAACAGGTAAAGAAAGGAAGAAAATTGTCAGATGCATGACTAGGCCTACATATCCTTTTATAGGAATGGGATGAGGGTGCAGTCTCAGACTGAACCAAATGGGGTGATGTATATCATTATTTTCCAGGGGAAAATTTGTAGAAGGAATTGTTGTATACGCACAGCAGGAAAGGAGAGTAAGGAGAGTAGCATGCACAAATTTAACCTATGATCTGTTTGTCTTCTTGCCTCTGACTACATGTGTTTTTGCAAGTACGGAAGAGTTTATCACCTCTGAGTCCTTGGAATAATGTTTCTTTTGGAGTGCTCTGATGGACAATTCCTGTAAAGCTTCCTTCTATTATCTATATTGGATTCTTTAAATTTTGTTGTAACTTTATAAGAACTTTGGTTGTCAGGGAAAACTAGTTGCTCATTTTCAGTTAGAGGTTGGGTGTGTTTCTTCAACTAAGTTACAATCTGCTTTTTTGGAATTAATATGAATTGTTTTTCCATGGAATCTTGAAAATAATCATATGGAATTGTACGGATGCTTATTCCTGTTTTGGACAAAGTTGAAAAGTTTCCGTGAAAT